ATATAGATGTTATTGCTACAATGTATTTCATGAAAACAATTTTGAACAATGTTTCCCTTGGAACTTTTTAAACAATGCAACAAATACTATTTAATGAAGACGACGTTACTATTTAAGACTTTAAACAGTATCTTCTTTGCAGTACATTATTATATTATACATATACCACCACACTAAAAACCTCAACTGTATACAACAATATGCTATTTTTATATAATTATATTAATCAAAGAGGGATGTTTTTGAGACATTTGTTTATAATAAAAAGTTTACATAATAAATGTATATCGATGTATATCTCTGTGGTTTATATGTAACAGCTACTTTTCTTGATGGTATATAGACAGTTGTGAGTGATAAGTGATTTGGTAGGCAATGAATACGATTTTTAAAAAGATCTATATGATTGAGATTATTGGATTTGCTCATGATTCTGCTACGAAACTAATAATTTTAGTGAGCCTTTTATTTCAAAATTAAAAACAAATGCTGTCATTCTTTTTACGTATTTTAATTATTTTTTTAAGAACAACAGCAAATCAATCAAGTTTTCTCAAGTTTATATATATTATTATTAATCTGTTAACTGTAATGCACAAGTTTCGTGCTAGTTTCGTCTTGTCACGTGCCATGCTCTCTTTAGTCGAGGTAAATAAAACCTGTAAACCATACTAGTGCACGAGAATGCGATGGTTATACACGAGAGATTACACACCCTCGTATGAGTTTGAGTAATTGAACTAGGTGGAACTTGAGGGGCCTAAAGCTCTGGCTTATTTCTCATCCTATTTTCGTTCGACATAAAAAAAAAGCAATATCATAGTGTGATACATATATATCAGTATTCAAAAATAAAAAAAAAGTCGAAGATAACATTACTTACAAAATAGTGAGTGATCTTGACAAATGGTGTATAAAGTAATTAATTACCGTAATGAATGTTTATATTTAAGGTAATGAGTTAATATGATAAAAGTTACGTTTTTTCTGCACTGTTGAGGATAGTTTTATGTATTTCACCATAACCTGCTCAAACGTTTCAGACTATGGTTCTTCACAAGTGGACAAGTTTTCGCGATTTGTAAATCAAAAACAGTTTATCGTCCTAGTTGTGCTATTCAGTGTGTGTTGAAGCTATATATGTGAAATCGGTTCCTGTATTTAGGACGTTAGTTCTTCCTTTACTCTCACGAACCCGAGTTTCTTTACATTCCTTTTTTTGTGTCATTTTTAAGTGAACAATAAAGTAAACCTAATATAAGCATTTCTATATTGGTGATAGCTGGCTGAGGTATGTCATGGTAAATCTATAAAATTGTGTAGCTTAAAATGTTGTTAACGCGAGGGTATCCAAATGGTGAGTCAATGCATTTTAATCATTATAGGTTTGAGCTTTCTTGTGTGCTGATTGGCGACGTTATGCACTTCTAGTCAGTTTGTTAAGTAGAATTAGCTTCATTAATCTACATTTTTAGTTCTGATTTACAAAATCAGCTTCATTTTGATTAAAAGTATTAATGATATCTTAAATCAATCAACTGTTCATTGTTCGAACAGAAAGTGTCTTGGAACATGAGTGTTTACTAATTGAAAGAGGATCTAATTAGGATTTGAGTTAAAGTTACGTCTTTCAGTTATGTTACTTATATGAAGAAATCTGATAAAGTCTTGACTGTTATAAGTGTAAAAAAGAAATTTTACCAGTCACCTACATGTAGTCACTTAATTCTCAGTTTATTTGTAATCTTTCGATGACGTATAAACACCTGCAAACTTAAGTATTATTTACGTTGCTTATGTTAAGAGGTTTCGGAAATTAAAATAATTTATACAAAAGGATAATGTTTCTTTCATTTTAGACTTAAGCCCGAAAATGTATATTTTCTATTTTTCTACTGATATTCATTTAATTTTCTTTAGCTTTGCACTAATCGCTCATTTAGAAATAATTTTATAACATACACTTTGTCTTAACACTAAACACTAATATTTTATTACAGCGAAATAACTTTGCGCTAAGTCTGATTTCGTTTGAAAAGACATCTTTAAATAAGACAAGCATCTATAGTTAATTTAATTATAAAAGAAAATGCTAGTCTCTGTTCCGATTATTACAGTGATGCTTGGTTTTTGAAATTAGGAGCATTAACAGATTTGTTTTTAAACAAGTCCACCAGAATGTTTTTGTACTAGTTATGTATGTTGTGTAATTTTTCTATTTTGTTTTATTAAAGTGGAGAAAAGTGCTCACCAAAATATCGAGTAACATTTATCAAACGGCAAATAAGTATTATGCATACTGTTACGGCAGCGGAAGTCATGTGACGCTAGTAACACGTCATGAGATTCTAGAAAGATCATGTCCGTTCATGAAGCCACGAGTGTTCTCCAGACGCCCTCTATTTCGTATATATAAGACCGGCGAGAAGTGACGGCATAGATATAAATAATTGCAGATTGAAGAGATAGAGACGGATAATTGAGTCAAGCGTGGTAGTAAAGTGGGTGAATCGTTCGTTGTGAATTATAGCGTGTGTTTAAG